TTTTTTTTTGTTTTTTTGTTTAAAGACGAGAGAGAGGGACTGTATTGATTTGGGACTTGCGTAAAAAGTCTCTTTGTCAAATGTATCGAGGCGCTCAATGTAGTCGATTAGCGGGTGATGAATCGCTGAAAAATCCCTCGGTTGTTTGAAAAACTTCCTCGATCGGGAAATAAAAAAAAAAAAAAAAAAGAAAGTCAGTCACACACGTACAGCGGAGGTGAGTCAAAGAGCAATAATTACACCGTCGGCGATAAATTAGCATGAACGAGCGCGCGCGCGTTCGCGGTTTTAAGTAACTCGTCTACACTATACCGATCGGTTTGCGTTGGGAACAAAAAAAAAAAAAAAGAAAAAAAAAGCTCCTTGGCTGCCTCGGAAAGGAGTTTCAATTTGGATCTTCCGCGTTAAACTTTGAGAAACAAGCCCTCGCGATCGGTATGTCTAACGATAAATAGATCGCAGCGAAAAAGGTCAAAATAAGAATGAAAAAAAAAAAAAAAAAACATAGATATGTTTCGCCCTCTCTACCGGGAACAGCTGCAAGTGCTGCATTCCCTACGTATACTATATACATGGGTATCGGGGTGATTAATGCATCAGCGAAGCGTGTGCCGCGTATATAATATATACACCCATATACGGATACAACGGAAGAGCAGCCTATACATTTATATATATGGTATAAAAATCTCTTAACACGCATGCAACACATAATGTGTATACATATATCTATGTATATTTTTCACGCACGCATGCCTCGTTTTATACATACTTATATACGCACATACGTATCTGTACTAGGGAATATGCGTGCTTTTACTCGCGTGTAATGCTCTTTTGTACCTTTATATCTTTTCTACGTAGGAGCAGGCGCTTGTACTCGAGGTCTCCTCGCTTGTATACCTGTGTGCTGTGCAGCGATAATTTTTTTTTTTTTTTTTTTTTTCAAACGCTGCAACCTACGGGGAATACAGTACAAGTGTTGTAGTTGGCTCAGGTGTACGCAACCAAGGTTCTTTTTTGCTCTACGTACAATATTCCCTGGGAAAAAGCCAAACGACTCGAACGTGTTAAACGAAAGGTTCCCCTGTTGTTTTTTCCTTTTTTATTTTTTTTTTTTATTTCTTAGTACCATCAGTCGCGATCTCGGGTGAAAATAAACTGTTACGTTGATAGCTTATTTATGAAAATGTTCGCGAGCCTCCGCGAAAGTATACACCAGCAGTGCAGCTACTCACGAATTATGATGTTAAATGGATATACGTACAGCAGAGAGAGAGAGAGAAGGGGGTGGGCTTCAATTAAGCGAGTCTGCCCTCTTATCCGACTTACCGATCTTTGCCGTCGTTATCTCGCTAATTTACACCCGTTTACCTTGGGTACACCTCCATTATGTTGTACAATATCCCCAAACTCCCGTGAGCTCGAAACAAAAACAAAAAAAAGAAATTCATTATCGCGATCCTCGTGCGCACGACTCGCGGAGTCATCTTCTTCTTCTCTCGGATTTTCCGGATAAAATATTAACCACCACGAGCTGCTTGTACGTATATTAATATACCCGTAAGCGCGCTCCTCGGTGTAATATTGAAAAGAAATTTTATACTATAAAATATTACTTTTGTAGGGGCAACTCGGGTATAATTGACTCGTTCCGCGAGAGCCACTCGTTGGAGATCAGAGATACCGCGGACGCAGGGTCTTCTTCATCTTTGGTGTAAAGTAAATCTTCTGCATCGTCAATTTAACCCGCTCGTCTCGAGATTCGATCTCTCTCCCAACCGGCAAATTTTAATTGCCAATGCCTGTATGCAACACTTGGCCTAAGGTACATCCAAAAATTCGTTCCAGGAATGCACTTGCCTCGTTAGCAAACCCATACGCATTCCGCGGGATAAAACGTAAGAATATGTAATAAACCGCGTGCATTAAGTTTTCCAGGGGGCGATAAATCCCCCTGCCGTGGAGAGGATCCCCGGGTACACGAGCACATAAGCCATGGGAGCGTGTAACGCACACGTATCGTGTGTAAGTAATGTACGCGGTTGTCGGAAGAAAGAGCAAGAGGCATCACCGAGGGACACGTAACAAGTCGCGCGCGGCTATCTTGCCCCCCCCCCCTTTTCTCTCCCTATTTATACATATACATGTATATGTGTACCTTTTCTCATTCGGGAGCAAATGTCCCTACAGCGTATCTGTGTGTATGTGCACATAATGTACAACATACCCCCTCCCTGCGTGTATATTTGTATACGGGGGACGCTTCAAGACGAGTTTTCTCTTGTGACGCGAGGCACCGCACGAGAGTATAAATATTATCATTATATGCGTATATACACCCGCTGACCACCAAAGACGACCGATTGTGGGATACATAATGTCCAGGTGGGTGTGGGTATAAATATATACCATTTAGAGGTGATACAAGTATAGGTATAGAGGGATATGTCGAAAAAAAAAAAAAAAAAAAAAAGAAAAGGATTTGGATGAGCTATAAGTACGCGAGATAATGGCTATATTTTAGCAGAGATGATAGTTTACGATGAGCCTGCAGGTTGAGTTGTGTACAGCGAGAGCCTCGGAAGGACGAGCGTTTCGTTGAAAATTTACGACTATGAAAATACTTTTCTTTTTTTTTTTTTTTTTTTTCTCCATTGTTTATATATATTATAAGTGCGATGATACTCGTGTACCAAGGTGTGCATGCATTATTCATTCACAACGAGCATATAATACAAAGCTATACATTTTCGCGTATACACACACATATATATATATATATACACGTACTTGGTATATGAAATATTTTACGAGCGTATCGGGAGAGGGGGGGGGGTATATTTCCAGTTTGAGCGTCCGATTAAATATTTCCGAGAGAGGAGGAGCCACCCCTGCGCTATAAAGTACGGAATAGGTATCGTGTATATGTACTCCTTTACCCCCACCCCACAACCCTCCAATCCCGGTAATTCCCGTGTAGGTGAAAATAAACGAGCCTTCGGCGCGATACCGCGGTCGAGCCGGATCAATTTTTAAGTAAAAACTTTTCATCCGCTCGTGATGGCAACGCCTTTTTCTTTTATTGGTACGTAGATGTACAGAGATCACTATCCGGTGACGTACAGTAAATTTATTATCCATTTTCATTTATCCAAGGTTCGATTTTGAGCACTCGAAGAAAGTCTCACTTGTATACTTCTCGAGGGTTGAATCATCAAGCTCGCCCTAAACACCCCCCCCCCCGCGTTGTCTATGTGACATTATGACATTAGTCATCGGATCTTTGTCGAAGGACAAAAAGCATCCCTCGTCCCCAAAGGCGCGTGTCTAGGTCAACGCTCCTCGACGGTTGAGTTGTCACTGCGCGCTTCTCCTCCTTTACACTGTATAAATAAGTATATATATATATAGCGTCCCTTGGAACCTCATCCCGCAAGGACTCGCTCTCGTCCATCCTCCCTTTCTCTCCGATCGCAGTCATCCTCTCTCTCTCTGCCCAGCTGCCAGCGCACCCTTAATTATAACCCATCGCACGAACTGCCGCGGTGGTTCAGTCACTATATACATATATGTACTCCTTATTGGCGCGCTCCCTGCTTTTTTCTTCCTTCCTTTTTCGCGATTACCCGCTCCCCTTCTGCTCTCTCCTTTCCTTCCACTCTATCGTGGGGCCCTTCCGAGAATCCGGGCAGCTCTTTTTGCGAGCACGCGCGTGTGCGTGTGTTACTTTAAGCCATGAGTTCAGGGAACGTCAGATATGGGCCTTGTTGGGTGGTGTTATTCCTTTTCGTGGAGAGGGGAGGGGGCGCACAAGGGCCCGCAGGGATCGGGGTTTCGGTGGGACCCGTTTCTCTTGGCCGGGGACTGCAGAGTTCCAACATACGCGCGGGATTGGATTTCTTTTTGTCGTTTTTTTTTTTTCCTCTCTTCCTGTCAAACAATATTTTTAACGTTAAAGGGACTCAAGTTTAGCGCAAAACGTTTGCATCTACGAAAACAAAGTGACCATACACATAATGCATTATGTAGTCGAGTTTATGACGTGTCAATGTATAAAGCGCGCTTCGCGTCGCACCTATATATACGTATGTTCGTCGTGATTATTTCATTCATGTGTTTTTCACGTCAGAGCGGCACGAAAGCGGGAGAGAACGTTTAAGCTATGCGAAGGTTAAGATTTACCTATATGCTCCACGGGACGTATGTACCTATGTAGATACGTATGTGGTTCCTATATACCTACACTCCTTTCTCTTTTCTCGTGTGCTTTAATGATAACAATTTTGCAATCAACATTTTGCACATTTATTTCTTCGTTCCAACGGGAAAACAGTCGACTTTTTTTCAAATCATTTTACAATAGTTGTGTTATTTTTTGGTGGAGAAATAACGAGTATTCGATTATTTTTTTACCAGGTACAAAACCCTACGATTGGTTTTGCATGGTTTGTTGATAAGGCCTCCGACTGAATGGAAACAATTAAACCTTGAACCAACAACTATGAAAAAAAGAAAAAAAAAAAAAAAAAAAATCACAAGAAAAGTAAGTATCAACCATTGACAGCATTGTATTGTAATAACTTCCGTTGGGATAAAAAGTCATGTACAGCGTATAATTGCACACAGGTAAATGATATCATGACTTAACCTTATAAAGCTACATATAACATATAGGCAGCACACCAACCTGTTTGTGGCGCGCTCCGAAATTCAGCCAACCCCCGTGAAAAAGCCGCATCCACAGCTCCCCTCGGGCTGCACTGCTCCGAAAAGGAAAGAAAAAAAAAAGAAAAAAGAAAAAAAGATGACTCTCTTGGCACCGCAAAACAATTACTAAACAATAAAAGTCAGTTGGCAAAAAACCATACAACAACAACAACAACAATAACAACAACAACAACAACAAAACTCTCAGCTAATATGCGCTTGTAAGTACATCTCCTTTCACATCGAAATTCACGCACTGGACATGTTTTTTATTAATTTACACACGTGCAAATTATTAATTGAAAATAAAAAAAAAAAAACAAAAAGCCACGAGAGAGAGAAAAAAAAAGCAGAGTCACTGTACGACTCGTGCACGACTACTACACCGTCTATAACTACTACTGGCGTATAGGAAAAAAAAAAAAAAAAAAAAAGAACCACCCACACTCGCGTATAAAAAACACACGCAACGCACAAACAAAGAGAACGTACGTACTACGTCGTACACGCACACAGCGAGAAGCTATTAGTGTGGGGGAGGGAGGGAGGGGGGGGGCAGATCCGCACTCACACACACTCACGATTCTACACGTACACATATAGATACGAATAATAGAGAAAGAGATACGGACAAGGCAGAGGTGGTGGTGCGCGTCGCGGCTCCGGAGCTCCTTTCTCGGCAAAGGCCGAACCTCGAGTGCGGCTCGCTACTTTTTCTCTCTCCCCGAGCTCCGGCGAGAACCATCAGCTCGGCTACGATGCACAATCGTATACCTACATAACGCCGTGCAAGTATAGGCAAGGGTGGTGGGAGCGCCTGCGCCGAGAGCCGAAAGGTGCGCGCACCGGCGTATCACCGGAGATATATACTTAGATGCAGCTGCACTGTGCACGCGCGTTCTCTCCTCTTCTTTTTTCCCCCGCGCACACATATACGTTCAAGGACTCTCTCTTTATCCTGCGAGTGCCAGCTAGGGGGGCTCTTCTCCTCCCGATGCAGCTCTGCCCATTTTCTTTCCCTCTGTCTCTCCCCGACTGGCGGTACCGCGGAGTATACGAGAGCTATTGTAACGTAGCTCACCTCCTCCTTTTTACTGTTTCATTTTATTTCAGGATTGATGAGCGAGCGGGTAGTTTTTTTTTTTTTTTCCTTTCTCGGTTTCTGCTAGGGGGATGGTTTTTTTTTTGTCCAAACTCCTAGTAGGCCGATCGTTGGGACGATCTGTCGTTATACTCGAGGCACACTTTTTTCCCCTCTCGATTCAATATTTAACGATTATTTCTTTGTATCTGCCACAGTACTCCATATTTACTCCCTCGAGGGCTTACATCAGGTTTTCCGTGCCATAATAGGCCATTTAACGATTTTCATCTATAACATGTGCGTTGTACGTGACGAATAGTGCCGATGAATCGGTTGACCGTGAGCTGGAACGATTGACTTTTGTGCGCATACAATTTCACCAATAGGGTGTAAGTACATAATTACATTAAAGATATTATATGTGCGGAAATGTAAGGGATGGACCGTTTTGTCGCCGATTTGTTGAACTTGACTGCATTGTGTTACACGCGAAAAGAAAAGGAAAACAAAGCCCCCATCCAATTACACGTACCTGCGTAACCGATCCTCGTAACAATTACCGGTGCAGTATATAGAATACCTACAGTAAACGAGAATAATCTCACGCCGGCGCGTATACAAGTCTCAGAGCGCGCGTGTTATCTCTTCTTTCCCCTCCGCAAGCAATTACACACTACGCGGACAATCACAGCGGCAAAACTACCCGACGCAAAACCATCTCGTTGCATCTCCCTGTTAACTGTAAAATTACACGTACATGGGTATTTGCAGAGTGACTTTTTCACGCAGTCAGAGCCGGCTTGCAGAGATTTTTCCTTCGATTAGCCCTCCCATTCTTGTATATAGGGATGTCCGTCCGTGCAGGTTTCTATTGTACAAGCGAAGATCGCGGCTTGCAAAACGGCTCTTTCTTCTTTTCCTCCAAGTATACGCGTATACACCTGTAAAACAAATCTCTCTCTCTCTCTTTCTTCCGTAAGTACTGGACGATTAATTTTTATCGCTATGCACCTATGTGCATGCGGCTACGTTCAACTGGTTCATCGTTTGCACGGTCCATTGTGCAATGTATGTACGTATATTCTAAGTGGGAATATCATACCTAACTAATCCGTTTGTAGTGGGACAAGAAGCTGCGCGGATCGTACGTCTTGGGACATCTGTGAGTCGGCCCGAGAACAACGTGTGTATATCGTACGCTATACGGTTGGTACATCAAATCTTGGGATGGAAAAAAGTATTTCGATTTTTTTTCAACTTATTTCTTTGACTAACATTGACTGCCTCTTTTATTACTTCGCAGTATAGATGATACATAACATTGTGCATTATATTTAAAGAAATTCTTTATTTCATTACCCGCGAGTCGTGACGAGTATTTGAAATTTTGATCGACGCTGAATTATACTGTATAAAAGAGACTTGAATTATTCACGAAGCGAATTGTGAATCGTAATGGAAAGAAAAAAAAATACAACTGTCCGTCCAACCGGTGCTTTATTTGTTCTATGTACATACTTGCAAAGCAGGTGAAAAACGGCCAAATTATTCATTAATACTTTTAGGTTTTGACCGTAAAGACTTTACTTGGTATTTTGTTCAACTAGACTCAAAAATTTATATTCTGACGGTGTGATAAATCATCAAAAAATTCCACTTAACGAGCGCGACCTTCAATTACAGATTCGTCGATTCCAATACATCAAAGTCTCACACAAATGACGAATGGAAAGGGTAAATGTTAAAAGGAAAAAAATTACAATTGGCGCTATTCCTATTATAAAAAATATATATATATG